GGATCAGAAAACCTGCTCTGTGTCCATTCCTGTCCCTACAAGTGTATTTCAGTAGATCTGCCTGTTCTGCTCCCCACTCTGTCTCTGGTGAGTCTTCTCACCCCCTGAACCTCTGGCCTGCACCCTAGCTCTTATATGCATAAATAAAACAAATCTTAAAAAAAAAAAAAAACCCTGTGAATGAAAATCAGAAACACTTGTCAAAAATTAACCCAAGGATCACTGTACCTTTTTTTAAAATCTTTTATTAGTTTTTTTTTTTTTTTTACATTGCTGTTCGTTTTTGTACAGTATTTTATTTCTCCCCTCAGGTGTAGTCCTGGTAAATATCCCACCACCACATCACCTGGGAACCATCACCATGGTCCTTGTGCTCTTCCCACCCCTATTTTGATCCCTTTTCCTACCCCTCCCCTGCTGTAAGCCGCGGATCTATAGTTGTCTACAAGTTTTGTCTTTTTTTTTTTTTGACCCTTGTTTGGTTTCCCTATATTCCTCCTATAAGGATCACTTACCTTTGACCTAAGAAAAAATAATTACTCCCATTTTTCCTGAGGTATGTCATTTGCATGAGGTATCGCATATAAATTTGTGATTGGTAGAGCTGTCTCTCAAAGTCAATCTTTCAGACTGTTTCTGGGTTCAAATCCTCACTTTGGTTATCTAGTAAAGTCTTTGTCTAATTATCACTATTACTAGGATGATTATATCAGTCCACATTTGCTTAAATGAGCTGCAGTCAAATGCCCAGGTTCTCTTTCCACTTCCTCACTGCCCCTGGGCCCACCTCAGTTTACTCCTAATAACACCACAGCTGCCATGGTGCCCTGATTAATGGGTGACCCCATCAAGTGACAGAAATCTAAATATAACTGTGGCTGCCTGCCTGACTGGCTGACTTCCTGTGTGTGTTCAGGGCAACAGACCAGGACTGATGCCTTCCCTGAGCCGGCAGATCCAGATCTGTGTTGTAGGGATGGCTACCAGGACACAAGTTTGCAACCTGATGACAGAGAAGGTGTGTGCAGGGGAGATAGCATAGTCCAGAGAAAAATGGGGGCCAAAGCCCAAGTTTTGATGGAACATATCGCCAAGTCCTGAAAGGTTAGTGGTTGTGTTAACTGAAAATAGTGTTTTAGTGGTGATGGTTAGACTAAGAGTTCACTAGATAATTAAACTGAGAATGCAAACCTGGGAAGCCAGCTGGCCAGTTTTACTCTGTGAGAGCCCATCCAACAACCACAAGTTTGGATTTAGTTAATATAGGTAGGAACAGGGAGTCATGGCGTTAAGAATGTAAGTATTTTTCATAGGAGGGGCTTCTGGTTGTAAATTGTCCCAACAGATATGCTGATGCGAGCAGAAGGCAATGCAGGATTTAACTTCTTCCTTTCTAAAGAAACCACTGCAGAGAGGCAAAGTCTGGTTACTATTGATAAATTGTCTTTATCTGACTTCTTGGTCTTCAGTGAGCGTGAAAGGACTGGCTTTATCTTCATACAGAACTCCTGTATAAGTGACAGGATGGAGCCCATTCACACTCTAAGCACTTTAAGTCTATGAAGATCAAAGCCTTACTTGTCAGTTTGGGGCAGGGGTTATGGGTGCTGGGAAGGGCATGTTATCCCCAGTAACTTACAATATGTTGGCAACAGGAATAAACTGAGAGGTATGCTGTAGGGTAAGTGAAAATTATCAAGCTTTTCCGCCCTCCCCCCACCAGCATTAATGTTACATCCTTGTGGTCCTACATGCATGCCTGATGGCGGGCACCTGGAGTAAAGTGTGGGCATGCATAAGTGGGCACACCTGGGCTTAGAGACTGGGCTTATAATGTCAGTGTCACAGGGTTGTCAGCAGTGGTGGAAGCAGCAAAAGAATGAGAGCAGAACCAGCAGAACAGCAAAGGCGAAACAGAGAAGCAGAGTCCACAAGAGAACGCTAGAGAGCCCAGAACGCTAGAGAGCCTGCCAGCCTCCTGCACACCCCACCCCATACCCCCAGCCCTCCTGCTTGCTGTGTACCTGGTTGCCACACTCCAAATGGTGTAAAAAGCTCAATAATAGCCTGAAAAAGCCACAGTGGTCTCCAAGACTCCTCTTACCCGTCTGCTTGGATCATGGAAAACCTGCTCTGTGCCTTCCTGCCACTACAGAGCAGAGTCAGGTAGGTGAGCTTGAAGATACCTCCGAGAAGTTTGGATATTGGGCACTTAGGTTAAGATGGTACAGTATTGAGATTTATAAGAAATATATATTTGGTAATTCAGATGGCCAAAGTATATTTCTCATACATATTTTGTTTTCAGCCACAATTCCTGGCTCATAGCTCCCAGAAGTCTAGAAATTTCCCGTGTTGAGAGTGATAAAGGTGTCTGTAGTTAAGTTACTGAGCTGCCTTTTGGGAAGCACCTGAGGTTAGTGGGTTGGAATTTTCATTCCCAACCCTCTAGAGGGAAGAAGGGCTGGAGGTTGAGTTCAATTTGCTGATTGTCAAGAGTTAATAAATCATGTAATGAATTCTCCATAACAGCCCAAAAGGATAGGCTTTGTTTTTTTTTTTTTTTTAAAGATTTATTTATATATGCATACAAGAGCTGGGGTACAGGCCAGAAGTGTGGGTGGGGGGGAGTGAGAGGATTCACCAGAGACAGAGTGGGGAACAGAACAGGCAGATTGACTGAAGTACACTGCTGAGGGGAGCAGTGAGCGAGACAGGAGAGGTCTGCTACGCCATGTGGGTTTGCTCCCTGGCCAGCTGGGATCCAGGATCGAACTCACTCCTGCAGCAGAGTTTGCGGATTGCTTCATAGTGCGGTGCTTAACCCTTTGCGCCATCAGGGCGGCCAGGATGGGCTTTGGAGAGCTTCATGGTTGGTGAATATGGAGATTTGGATAGAACAGTGCCTTGGAGAAGGCATGGTAACGCCAAGCTTTTCCCCATCCCTTGTCCTATGCATCTCTTCCATCTGGCTGTTATATTCTTTTAATAGCCATCAAGTGAGTAAACAGATTTCCTGAGTTCTGCGAGTGGTTCCAGCAAGTTAATCAAACTTGAGGAGGGGAACTTCTGACTTATGGTCCACTGGTCAGAAGCACCTGGGGCTTGAAGGTTTGCAGCATATCTGGTCGGAGGACTGTCTCTGTAGGCTGAGCCTTTAACCTGGGGAATCTGACACTATCTCTGGGTAGATGGTGTCAGAATTGAGTTGAATCCTGCTGGTGTCTGATATTTGCTTATTTATGTGGGTAAGTCTACCCATGCTCTCATTGGAACTGGGTCTAGGAACCCAATACAGATGGACACAGGATATTGAGACAAGGTAAGTCTTCTATCTTGAAGGATTTGTATACCTGTCTAAGAAATATAAGTTGTATCCAGCTAGCTGTAGGGAGCCAAATGTAGTTTTAGACATGTCAGAAGAATCTTGCTTTCTACAGCATAGAGAGTAGGAAGTACACAATTTGGGAAGTGGGGAAGCCGCTTAAGCACTCTAAAACTATCTGCAGCCAATTCAGCACCAGTTCGATCCCCGGCCAGGGAGCTACTCACATGGAACAGCAGACCTCTCCTGTCTCACCCACTGCTCCCCTCAGCAGTGTATTTCAGTAGATCTGCCTGTTCTGCTCCCCACTCTGTCTCTGGTGAATCCTCTCACCCCCTGCATCTCTGGCCTGTACTCCAGTTCTTGTAGGCATAAATAAATCTAAAAAAATAAAAGAAATTGAAGGAGGCAGGACAAATTTTAAATGTCTGGAGCCGCCTGGAGCATGCGCCGTGTTGCACATGTGCTCGATGAATTAGGTTTCGATTTACTGTTTCGCCTTCGGAGAAACCCCTGCGTTCTCCTGTAAATCACGCGAGACTGAGAGTACGATGGGAGGAGCGACCGGGGTATAAGAAGGGAACCACGAGAGGGAGACTGCGAGGAGACTATAAGGAGATATGGCAAGGGGTACTGCGAGAGGAGCAGAGAGAAGGCCAGGGAAGTAAGAAAGACAGGGAAAAGAAAGATATGTAAAAGTAGGAAAAGGATAAAGGAAAAATAAAGAAGCAAACGCTAGGGTCAAGTTGTCTCAAGCCCCTCATTTCAAGCCTCAGCCCTTCTCTTTTCGTGCCTCCGAATCCCGCGGGTCGGGACATTAAAGGAGTCAGACAATAGGGTAAGTGATGGTCAGGCTTTTGCGCTGTTGGCCTCTGTGGCTATCACCTGTGGCCTTGAATGCAAGAGGCACTTGGGAGAATGTGCTTGGTGGATACCTGAAGTATGGTGTGGCATGCGAAAGTGGGCATACTTGAGCCGGGAGGCTGACGCTATTAGGGTGGTATCACAGAGGAGAGTGTGCAGTAGAGAGTAGTGGAGAACAGCTAGGAGAGAAAAGAGCATGTGGAGATTTGCAGGGGGGCCCAAGTTGCTGTCTTCCTGCTGGCTTGTTTCCCCTGCGTATTATTAAAAAATAAACCCATGGGGATGATGCCAAGGGCGCCAAGATTCTCTTTTTTTTTTTTTTTTAGAGGCATGTTTTATTTATTTATTTATTTATTCATTAGTTTGTTTTGTTTATACATGCACTGGGTACAGTCAGAAGCGCGGGAGGGTGAGAGAATTCACCAGAGCCAGAGCGGGGAGCAGAGCAGGCAGAAGGACCAAAGTACTCTGCTGAGGGGAGCAGCGGGCGGCAGGAGAGGTCTGCGCGCCATGTGGGACCCTCCTCCGGTGGCTGGGGAGCAGCCGGGGATCGAACCGGCGCTACAGAGGCTGCTGGCAGCTTCGCAACCCAGCGCTCAACCGCTGCGCCACCGGGGAGGCCCCGCCAAGATTCTCTTTAAGCTGCCTGAAATGACAATGAACCTACCCGACCTGGGATGGTTGCAGAACAGGTGTCAACTGGACAAGTGCTAGGAAAGCTGGAAGGAAAGACCTCACTGGAGCACCATCCCAACCCAAACTCTGTGACCTCAGGCCCTATAGCTTCTGGCTCCCTTACCAAGTTCCAGTCACACCAGTCTTTCCAGTCGTGTGCTGCGCTAAGACGGATTTTTTCAGGGTCTTCACACTTGCTGGTCCTCCTCCCTGAGATACTGTTCCCCAGCTTTTCACACTCCTGGTTCCTTCTCATTATTCAACTCTTTGTTCAAATAGCTCCTCAGAGAAATTGTCCCCAATCACCCTATCTAAGTAGCATCCTCACCCCCTTTCAGGCCCCCACATTCCCACTCTTTCCACTTCCTCTGTAGACGCAGGACTGGCCACTGAGCAGGTTTTCTATGATCCAGCAGACTGGGTAAAGCAGGAGTCAGAGTCCTCAGTGGTTTTCTGCAGGTCTTTTATTTAGATTTAGCAGGCATATGGCAGGCAGGGGTGCTGGGGGGGCCGGGAGGCTGGCAGTCCTCCCAGCAAATCTTCACTCTATCTGGACTCTATCTGGGCTCTCTCTGCTTCTCTTCTTCTCTTGGCTTCTGCTTGTTCTTGGCTTCTCTGGCATCCCGGCGACACCGCCCTTATAAACTCAGTCTCTCAGCCCAGGTTTACCCACTTCAGGGGCCTGCCATCAGGCATGCATTCAGGACCACAGGGTTCCCTCATCTATCCTAATGGCGGGAGGGCAGAAAAGCCTGATACTTTTACCTTACCCTTATGCATACAAGAGCTGGGGCACAGGCCAGATTCACGGGGAGGGTGAGAGGATTCACCAGAGACAGAGTGGGGAACAGAACAGGCAGACTGACTGAAATACACTGCTGAGGGGAGCAGCAGGCAAGACAGGAGAGGTCTGCTGCACCATGTGGGTTGCTCCTTGGTCAGCCAGAGATCAAACTCGTGCTGCAGTGGCTACAGATTGCTTCATAGGTTGTGTCTTACCCCTTGCACCACCAGGGAGGTCCTCATGTTGTTTGTTTAAGAACGCATTGCTGGGTGACATTGCCTTTTATTTGCTTTTATTTTACTCTTCACCAGAGAAAAGCTCTGTGGGAGCAGGAACATTGTTGTTTTCATCAGGGTATCCACCAGTACTTGAAAAAGTGCCTGGTATGTAGTAATTACTCTTTAAATATTGAATGAAAGAATAAATACATGAAATAAAGTCATTCTTGGGGTTTGGTGCCTTGGCCAAAGTAACCTGCCTAGGGAGGGCAGATCTAAGGCAAACACTAAGTTACTCTCCACCTCTCAGTTACACAGCAGGGCGCTCTCAGCCACAGGGCCCTGGGCACATAGAAGCAATTAGAAGGAGGCCAGCTTGGGGAAAACACTGCACTTCTCATTTTTGTGTGGTTGCCTTTCCAATCTCTCCTCTTAGAATGCTTACCCCTATCTTCACCTGGCTAACTTCTATTTATCATTTATGACTGAGCTCAATTTAGCTAAATGGCAGGACAGAACAAATTTATAAAGACTAGGAGCTATAAGGTACATATTTACCAGTTTGACTCTCTCTTTCTTTCTCTCTCTCTCTCTCTCTCTCTATATATATATATATATAAAATGTATATACTAAAAACCAAAACCTTCCATACTGGGATAGATTTTACAAAATTAGATGAAGCTGGGAGAAAATAATTGTAACCCATTCAACAGATAAAGGATTAATATCCATAACATATAGAATGCTCCTATAAATAAATGAAAAGACAAATAAGCCAATTTAATAAACTTAGGCTGAATGGATGAACAAATTGTAGTACATCACTGATTAAAAAGGGATAGGATATAAATAGATAATTTAAGACTAAAAATAAAAATGGGCAATTAATTTATTAACTTAGAGAAATACAAAAGAAAACTTATTTTCACCTGTCAGATTGCCAAAAAAATTTTTTAAACAATTGGACTGGATTATTTTATTTTTAAGATTTATTTATTTAGGCATACAAGAACCGGGGTACAGGCCAGAGGTATGAGGGGTGAGAGGATTCACCAGAGACAGAGTGGGGAGCAGAACAAGCAGATTGAGCGAAGTGCACTGCTGAGGGGAGCTGCGGGCAAGTCAGGAGAGGTCTGCTGCTCCAAGTGGGTTGCTCCCTGGCCGGGGATCGAACCCTTGCTGCAGTGGCTGCGGACAGCTCCATAGGCTGTGTCTTAACCCCTTGCGCCACCAGTGAGGCCCCCAGCTTGCCAAAAATTTAAGACTAGTAATATACAGTGTTGATGAGGGTGTGGGGGAATGGTATTTTTATTCACTATTGGTAGGGCAGTAAATTTGCAAAGTCTTTTGGGAGAGGAAAATTGGCAGTTTGTACCAAAAATAATTTTAAATGTACTCTCACTTTTAAGTAATCCTCATTTAATTGAAACTCACCTATTAAACCTTTATTTATGAAGTTATTCATTAGTGCAGCACTGGTTTTAATTAGAAACTAGTCCAATACTCATCAATAGGGTAATAAGTAATAAAAAATAATACACACTAAAATACTATAGCATACTACAAAAATCAGTTAAACATTTAAGTACAGGAATAAAGTACACCATATATGTTAAATTAATAAGCAATTTGCAAAATAGTGTGTAAAACGTATTCTCATTTCTTTGTAAGATACAATTTAAGAACATTCTGACATTCATTTTTATGATCTTCAAATTTACTGAAATAAATATTTTTGTATAAAAGTAGTAGCTTTACAAAGTCTGTGTTTTTAAACTCAATTTAAAAGCTTTGAAATAATCTTGAATTTAGTTGAAGAACTTTCCTCATGGGCTAAGTAGTTTGTTATATAAACATAGAAAACTATCATTATTAACTTCTTGGTATTCAAATTAGAACAAAAACCAAGCATCAAAGAAACCAGCAGCTGTGGAATACCCCGAAAAAGGCTTGGACTTGCTGCCACAAAAATCTGAGCAAAAACTTGGCAGTCACTAATTAGCTGTGTGGCTTCTGACTCAAACTCTTGAAGGTTTGCATTTCTTACTTGCAAAATAAGAAGTAACAATAAACAGCAACAACACCCTAATGTAGGAGGCCTGAGAAGCAAAAGTGGGATTATTGAGTGCAGAGGAAAAAATGAGTCAATGTAGCTCAAAATGATAAGATTTAAAACTTTAATCCAGTCTTGGTTTAAAATTAGGTTAAAATTGGTCATAGGGATATTTGATAAAAAGGCTGGAAAGGAAATAATGTATTTGCCCAAATTATATGCGAATTCATGTGTTGTGCAGGTTATTGCAATCTCAAGAGAAAGAAGAAAAAGGTAGCATAGCTGGAGACTAGCCAGCTGTCACCAGAGATCGAATACGTGATTAAACTAGACACCCTGGCTTCCTTGTCAGTTCCTCTCTCCATGTGTTCACTGGTATTCAAGGAGAAGGAACTACAGCTGTTGCATGAGATAGTCATTTGTTAGAACACAAAAGGTGTTTTGTTTCTGTTTAATTTTACAGGAATGTAACCTTTACCACAAAGTTTGGGATAACCACAAACTTGTAAATTATATTTATGCTGACAGATTGTATTTGCTTGTGCAGATCACAAAGTCTGCTTCTTATAGGAAGTTGAGTTTGTTGCTTTATCTGTAAATGAACTCAATGGTTTTATGATAATTAATGTACAATTTTATAAATTAAATAATTTCCATTGCATAGACTTGGGCTGGCTCAAGGTATTGCCAAGAGAGCTGGAGAAGCAGGTTTGAGGTTATGCAGTGAGAACCACAAACAAAATTATGGCATAGAACCCACTGGTGAGGACACTTCTGCTGCCATCCCAGAGGGGCAATCCTTCAGTGGTGTTGCTGATGGCTCCACTGGCACTGTGCCTTTAGGAACTGGATGTTGCCGTCTCCATCTCTGTAACAGTCAGTGATGATGCACCACTGCCTCTGTTGATTCCTTAGCTCCCATTCAAAAATTCAGGACAAATGTTGGCGAGGTTGTGGAGAAAAAGGAACTCTCCTACATTGCTGGTGGGAGTGCAAACTGGTCCAACCACTATGGAGAGCTGTGTGGCGATTTCTTGACCTACTAAAGATAGAGCTTCCATATGATCCAGCAATTCCACTCCTAGGTATTTACCCAAAGGACACAGAAACATCAATTCCAAAGGGCACCTGCACTCCTATGTTTATAGCAGCACTATTTACAATAGCTAAGCTATGGAAACAACCCAAATGCCCAAAAATAGATGACTAGATCAAGAAGATGTGGTGCATATACACCATGGAATATTACTCAGCAATCACAAAAGAGAAACACATGCAGTTTGCAGCAACATGGATGGAGCTAGAAGGGATCATGCTCAGCGAAATAAGTCAGAAAGAAAAAGAAAAATACCGGATGGTCTCACTCTTAGCAGGAATTTAGAAAACCTAAATAAGGGACCAAGAAAAATACTGATTAATACAAAGTAAAAATCAAAATCAACAAGCAACTATAAACCAGAGACACACTTCTGGGGGTGGAGGGGAGGGAAGGGGAGAGGAAGGACTAGGGTCAAAATAAGGGGGGGTGCAATTGTATGGGGAATATAAGCAAAATGAAAATGCATACATTGTGAAAAAATGAAAAATGATGTAATAATTATATAAAATAAAATATTAAAAACAAAACAAAAAATTCTGGACAGTGCAGAGACTGCCTATGTCATGAACTCATAGCTGCAAAGGAAAGAGGTTCTAACAGATTGGAAAGGGGTTCAGATTCTGAGCAGCCAACAAATTATAAAATCCAAATATTTTCTTACTCTCTCTACCTCTGCACCCACACAAGGGAATGTTACAAGAGAAAATCAACTCACCATACTTATTTAAAATTACTCACTTTCAGTTTATGTCCATAAGTCTCAAATGAGCTTGCAACACTATCAGACTATTCATTTTTCTTTTTTCACTTCCTGAGATACTATTTCATATTTCTCACATCAAATGTCCAATATCTCCCCTTCATTCCAATGGTGTCTTTGTTTAGTGATCCCTCCAGAAAAGAGATTCATTCAGAGGAGCTCTCTCTACCTCCTCTTTCCACCATGGCAACCCTTCCACATGCTCTCTGTCCATCCCCCTTACCTACTCAAAGACTTCACTCCTGCAGTCTCCCCTCTTTGACATTCTACTGGATCATTCTCAGTGGCATAGGGACATATCTTTGTATCATTCATCTTCTAAAATATAAACAGAACTAAAACCTCCTTCAAACACAGTCCTCTTTCAACTCACCTCATTTCTCTCTTCTCTTTCTCAAACTCATCATTTGAAGGTCTCTTCTTGCTCTCCTTCCTCATGTCCATCTTTCCCACAAACCACTTCATCAAGCTCTTGTCCTCACTCTTTTATTAAGGTCACCATGACCTACATCTACCCAAGCAAATGTTTGCTTGTTTGAGTTTTTCTTTTCTTTTTTAAAAAGATTTATTTATTGGGGCCTCCCCGGTGGCACAGCGGTTGAGCGCTGGGTTGCGAAGCTGCCCGCAGCCTCTGCAGCGCCAGTTCGATCCCCGGCTGCTCCCCGGCCACCGGAGGAGGGTCCCACATGGCGCGCAGACCTCTCCTGCCGCCCGCTGCTCCCCCCCCAGCAGTGTACCCTCCGTCCTTCTCCCTGCTCTGCTCCCCGCTCTGGCTCTGGTGAATTCCCTCACCCTCCCGCGCTTCTGACTGTGCCCAATGCTTGTATAAATAAATAAAAATAAATCTTAAAAGATTTATTTATTTTTATGCAAGAACCAGGGTATAGGCCTGATGCGCGGGAGGGTGAGCGGATTCACCAGAGACAGAGCAGGGAACAGAACAGGCAGACTGACAAAATACACTGCTGAGGGGAGCAGTGGGTGAGACAGGAGAGGTCTGCTGCGCCCTGTGGAATTCTCTCCGGCCAGCCGGGATCGAACCTGCACTGCAGAGGCTGTGGACAGCTTCACAGCTCAACTGCCTGCGCCACCAGGGAGGCCCGTTTGAGTTTTTCTTTGGCACCTTATTGAACTTCTCAGAAGCATTTGATGCTCTTGAATGCTTTGTCCTTTTCAAGACACTTTCTTCTTGAGCTTTCAGGATTTCATACTCCCCTGTTTTTCTTCTTCTCAACATTTTTTGCTTCCCCATGACTCTGTCCTCGGTAGTCTTCTCTCTTCTATATTCTCTCTAAATGATTTCCAACCTGTTTACCTACTTTTCCCTGCTCTATGCATTTTATCACACTTCCCTTCAACTTCCTGCTTTGAAAAATCTCAAATTTACCTACAAGTTTGAAGAGTAATAATTATGAGTATATATGTACTTTTCAGTGATATTCATCAGTTGCTGTCATTTTGCCAATATTTGTGTGTGTAATTTCTCCATCTCTTCCCCACCCTATACACTTTGGCTCAACCTTGGCTTCAACAAATTTCAATCAACATGATACAGTTCCTTTAAATATTTTAACATCTACCTTCCAAAACTGAAGTATTTTCCTAAAGAACTATAAAACTATTATTATAGCTAAGAAAATTAACAATAAATTAATCACTATGCAGTATATTTTCAAATTTTCCCAAATCTCTGAACTATGATCTATATAGAAATCATTCTTTTAGGGCCTCCCTGATGGTGCAAGGAATTAAGTCTCAACATTATGAAGCTATCTGCAGCCAGTGCAGCACTAGTTGGATCCCTGTCTCGCTCGCTGCTCCCCTCCACAGCATATTTCAGTCTGCCTGTTCTGCTCCCCATTCTCTCTGGTGAATCCTCTCACCCCCTTTGCACCTTTGGCCTACACCCCACCTCTGGTATGCATAAATAAATAAATCTTAAAAAAAAGAGAAATAATTCTTTTAAATCCAAGGTCTAATCAAGAATTACTCATAAAATTTCATCATTACCTTTAGTCTCTTTCATTATTAAAAAGATCATCCCTCCCCTGTCTTTTGTTGTTTTCCACAATATTGACTGTTTTCAAAAGTCTATTCTTTACAGAATGCTTTCTAGATTAGTGGCTCTCAAAAGGGGTGATTTTGTTCCCCATGGGAAATTTGATAATGTCTGGAGATATTATTGGTTATCACAAAGGGGCAGGTGTGTCTTAGACATATAGGGCTATTGTAATGAAATGCCATAAACCAGTGTCTTATAAACAACAGAAACTTATTTTTTGACATTCTGAAGGCTGAGAAGTCTGAGTTCAAGGTGTTGGCAGGTTGAGTATCTGGTGAAGTATATTTATATATATCTTAAAAAGTGAAATGTGGGAGGGAATTTTCTCTGGTCTCTTTTATGGGGACACTAATGCCATTCAGGAGGGCTTACCCTCGTGACCTAAACACCTCCTAAAGTTCCCACCTCCTAAAATCATCACCTTGTGGGTTAGGGTTTGAACATATGAATTGTGGGGGGAGGGGCAGTTTACACATTCAATGCATAACAATCTACTGGCATCTAGTGGGTGGAGGCCAGGGGTGCTACTAAACTTCCTATAGTGCACAGAATAGCTCCCAGACCAAAGAATTATCCACCCCAAAATGTCAGTAGTGCAGAAGTTGAGAAACTCTAGATTCATCTGATAGTTTGCTCATGATTAGATTCAGATACAACAGATGATCCTCGCCTAAACAACTATTACAATGGGGGTTGCAGAATGGTTACTTTCTTTTATTCTGCCATTCTTTGTATGATTATAACTTAGAATTCTTCTGTAATGAAGAACTTTGCATTTCTGTTTCTCTTTTTCATTTTAGTATTACTTGGACTAATGGGAAAACAGAATGCATCAACTTTACTCATCTTGATATTCAAATTTTAGCATGTATATTTATCATGCATGTCACTAACTTGGCCAATGGGAATCATGTTAAACTCTTATCCTACGGACATTGCCATTTCTTTAGTCTTCAGTCTTCTTTGATTTCTGACATTAAATGTCCCAGGTATACCTTCTACTTTGCCTGCCCCCGTCCTGGAATCATCCATTTCTTGAAATATTGTTTCTTTTAATGGGGTGTAGTATTTAGAAACCAAGGACTGGATACTAGATATGTTCATTGCTACTGGGATATCATTGGTTCTAAGTCCATGGAGTGGACATAGCAAAAATTTGAACTTATGAAAAAATACACAATTTAAATTCAGCAAATACCTCTCTACCATTGTCTCCTCTATTTGTACTTTCCTTCTCCTATTATGAGAAACCTGGTTTTCAACAAAAATCAATGTATTTGTTCATTTGCTTTATCCTATAATATACCCAAAGTTGCTTGATAATTATACCCTGTATAGTGATTATTAATAGTCTCTGATTTATTCTGTTTCTTATTGTGGGAAAAAAATGAATAAAGATAGAAGCACTTCCAGAATGACAAAGATCTCTGAAAATCTACTCCTCCATAAAAGTAACAAGAACACTGGCAAAAGTTGTCGAAATCAACTTTTTCAGAACTCTGAAAAGTAATCAAAGGCTTGCTAAACTTCAAGGAAGATTTATCCAAGGAAAACAGCTGAATCTAAGAAGAATCTAGGTAAGAATAGAAGGCTTTCTGGCATTTTAACTTACTCTCTTACCATCTTCCGCTCAGCTTTTCAGTATCCTTGGAACTGTACTAGCTATGAAAAACAGAAGCTTAGCAGCCACTGGAAGGAACAGAACAACTTTGAACTTCCCCCAAATGCCCAACTCAGACAATTGTCACTATTAGACCTGCCTGGCTGTCACTTGAAAACCTTCACTCTTAGGGCTTGTTTTTATTTGAAGTGACTCAGAACTTATTCTATGCCTAGCAGTCCTATTCCCAGGTATTTGTTGGAAAAAAAAATAGCTGCAATCGCTTATATCTTAGTTGCTTGAGGTGGTAATACCAGTTGGGACTAGTGAAAGGCTGACCAAAGAACAAAACAGGAGAAACTGGGATATTTGTTAATTTATTGATTGGTTTTGTTAAGAGCTACAATTTAATGGAATACAACATGACTTTTTTTTTTTTAAAACAGATTTATTTATTTATACAAGAACTGGGGTACAAGCCAGAGGCACAGGAGGGTGAGAGGCTTCACCAAAGACAGAATAGTGAACAGAACGGGCAAATGGACCAAAAACACTGCTGAGGGGAGCAGTGGGCAAGACAGGAGAGGTCTGCTGCACCATGTGGGTATCTCCCTGGCTGGTCAGGAATCGAACCCACATTGCAGAGGCTGCGGACAGCTTCACAGTGCTGTGCTCAACCCACTGCACCACCGGGGAGGCCCAACATGACTATCTTTTGATGATTTAATTTTTAAATAACTCCAAGGGGAAAATAAAAAGGAAAAACTTGGGAATGAGATTTCCATAGAGGGCTTTGATAATCTCTGATTTAATTTGGGACTCTAGAAAGACACTTGCATGTGCATTTCCATACTTTACATATTTTTTTAAACTCTGATTTTTTTCTCTTAATAAGATATCTTGGCATTCACTTTATAGTAACACATAAAACTCTTATATATTCTCTTTTATGACCATGTATCATTCAATTGTGCATATGTATCATCTTTATATATTCATTTTTTTCTTAGGGCAAAGTGTGAATGCAGTCCTCCACTTCTACAAATTATGCATTCAATTTTCCCACATTTGGGGAAATCACAGAGGTCAGCACATCCAGAGTACAACGGCTGAGCCTCACCTGGGGAAAACCATCGTTGTGATCATGGTGTCTCCCTTGCCAGGTAGGTGTCTTTAATTGAACAAGTTTTCAATGTAGGTGGCATACGGGTTGTTTTAATATTTTGCTATTAAAAATAATGCCATAATTGGGCCTCCCTGGAGGGAATAGAACAACTTTGAACTTCCCCCAAAAACCCAACTCAGACAATTGTCACTATTAGATCTGTCTGGCTGTCACTTGAAAACCTTCACTCTTAGGGCTTGTTTTTATTTGAAGTGTGTTTCCAGCGGCAATGTAAATAAATGAGTGCCTGTTTTCCTTACAGCTTCACTAGTACAGGAGGTTGTCAACCTTTTGAACTTTGTCACTCAATGGATAAGAAACAGTATCTCAATGTTTCAATTGCATTGTGTTTTGAGTGAATTTGGGCATCTTTTAATATGTTTAAAATGAACTTTTAATGTCTTTTAAAAATGAATCTTCAAGTCCTTTGCCCACTTTTCTATAAGTTTTCAGTTTTGTCTCTTTAGATTTTTACAGTGCTCTTTGTATATTCTGGCTGTTGATTATGAATACCATCTGAACTGTTGACTTCTTAACCATATCCCCCTGCCTGAGCTCCAAATTTGTATGCCTGACTATCTATTTGACATTTCCAGTTAGATACTCAATAGGTGTTCTTGACAAAAACAGAGCTCTTTCCTCCTCAGCAAATCCTTATCTCATAAGTCATATCCAACATCTGTCCATTTTCTATATCTTCCCTGGTATCATGCTGGATGAAACTACCATCACTGACTATGGCAGCACCTCTTAACTCTTCCCCACTTCCATCATTACCCTTCCTCCCTCCTATAATTTATTTTTCATATAGTAAACAAGGTTATCCCTTTAAAAGTGTAAATTGCACCATGTAGCACTTCCATTAAAAACTTTCTGATGGCCTCCCATAATAGATGGAATAAAATAGATATTAAGATGACAATGGGCCTCCCCAGTGGCACAAGGGACTAAGTCTCAGCATTATGAAGCAATTTGCAGCTACTGCAGCACCAGCTGGATCTGTGGCTGGGGAATTGACCCACATGGCACAGCAGACCTCTCCTGTCTCACCCGCTGCTTCCCTCAGCAGTGTATTTTAGTGGATCTGCCTGTTCTTCTCCCCACTTTGTCTCTGGTGAATTCTCTCACCCTCCACACCTCTGGCCTACACCCTAGCTCTTGTATGCATAAATAAATAAATCTTAAAAAAAAAATACGACAGCAGACCCAAAATTAAGTCTCTTGTACTAAGCCTTATGTCACCAAACCAAGACTTTATTTTTGTTGTTCTTATATCAATATTTTTTTTTTCTTCAGGGAATATTGGTTTACGATACTGTATATTATCAGAGATATAGAATCACACTTCATCAGATGTATGTTACCAAACCACACCCACAACCAAGGCACCCATAGTCCTCCATTATAGTCCATGGTGTACCCTCCACCATCCTGTTTGCTACCCTTCCTCTCCTCCTCCCATTGTGGTATCCTCAATTCTATGGTCAGACTGCTAGGATTTGTTATTGGTTTGGTTCTGTCTGATCCTTTGTCTTATTTCTCTATACTCTACAAATAAGTGACACCATCTGGTATTTGTTTTTCTCCTTCTGACTTATCTTGCTTAGCATTATCCCCTCCATTTCCATCCAGAATAACAAGAGTTCATCTTTCAAAACAATATAAAAACAAAACAATATATATGGAATACTAATCATATATATATATTACATATATATTCATGCCATCTGCAAATAGTGATAGTTTTCCTTCTTTCCCAGTCCCAGTTTGGATTTCTTTTATATCTTGCCAATACTTAATTTGATTACAGATTAAATTACATTTAAGAAGTTGAATCTTAAACCAGTAAATCAGGAATCACCTAACCAGCAATAGTTAGGTAATCTTCCTGAAAAACCCCCTGCCATCCCCTTCAAGAAAGTGACTTTGTTATAATCAGACTGCTCTTTGACCTAGTGTAACTTCCTTATTTCCACTCCTTCTGCATATAAAAATCTCTCATTTTACACAGGTCCTCAGAGTTCCTTTCTGTTTACTAGATGGGATGCTACTCAATTCATGAATCATTGAATAAAGCTGATGAAATACTGAAGATTTACTAAGTTGAATTTTGTTTTTAAAGACAGAATATAATTTAGTTCATGTTGTGGCATCAATGTCTTAGGACTGACTCTGGCCTCCCTCTCCTTTCCCACTTACCACTCTGGCTTTCCTCTACTCTGGTCCCTGGTTATTATAATTTTTTTAAAAGATTTATTTATTTATGCATATAAGAACTGGGGTACAGGCCAGAGGTGCGGGGGTGAGAGATTCACCAGAGACAGAGTGGGGAGCAGAACAGGCAGATTGACCAAAATACACTGCTGAGGGGAGCAGCGGGTGAGTCAGGAGAGGTCTGCTGTACCATGTGGGTAGCTCCCTGGCCAGGGATCGAACTCATGCTGCAGTGGCTGCGGATAACTTCATAGGTTGCGTCTTAACCCCTTGTACTACCAGGGAGACCCCCTTTTATTTTTTGTCTCTTGGACATACTAAACCTTTTAATATTCTTGATACTTTTTAAAGTTTATCTTTTTTTTTTGCATGACTATTCTTTTCCATAGCTTCTAATTGCTGCCTCCATTGTCCCACTCAGATAGCTCCACTCCCATCCTCCATTGTTCTAGTTAATTTTTTCAAAGCCTCTCCCTTTGGAAAGTTACATGAGAAAATTTTTCTTCTTTCCTTAAAATGGTTTGAGAGTTTTTTTTCCTTGCAACTGAAATAATTCTAGTTAATATATTTATAGGAATTTATCAATAATAAAGATAGCATTTCAAATTATTGGGGGAATAATTATTTGGGCACAATTACTTGTCTACCTGAAAATAAAGTTAGTTCCCCTACCTAACACCATGTAAAAAGTCATTCCTAATAGATTAAAAAGGAAAACATGAAAAACCAAAGATATACGCATACTGGGAAAATGTTCACAGAATCATTGCCCATTTATGGATTTAGGGTTGAAAGGCCTTCTTGGAGAGAGGGGAAAAAAGCTATAGAAAGATAGATAAATTGACAATTAAAACTTAAAATTCTGGGGCCTCCCTGGTGGTGCAGGGGTTAAAAACAGCTCTATCAAGCTATTGCCAACCACTGCAGCATGAGCTTGAAAACCTGCCAGCCAGGGAGAAACCCACATGGTGCAGCAGACCTTTTCTGCCTCACCTGCTGCTCCCCTCAGCAGTGTATTTCAGTAGATCTGTCTGTTCTGCTCCCCACTCTCGTGTATCCTCTCACCCCCTGCACCTCTGGCTTACACACCAGTTCTTGTATGCACAATAAATAAATCTTGAAAAAAATTAATTAAAAAAACCAAAAAACCTTAAAATTCTGTAAATAAATGACACTACTAGTATTATTAATACTAAAAGACAAATAACAAAATGGAAGAAAATACCTCATATTTTACATATAAAAGATTAATATCTACAAGATGTTAAGAACTCTTTTAAGTCAATAATAAAACACAACAACCAGTGACAAATATCCAAAGATAAATAAAATCTGTGGTAGATGAAATGCAAACAGCTAATAAAATGTAAAATGATTCCTAACCTCATTGATATTCAGGAAAATGCTTACTAAAATGTCATTAATATATAATCTCTTGCCCATCAAATTGGTAAGCGAAAGAAGATTGATAAAAGCCAGCAATGGTATGTGCAAAGATGTTCACACATGTTGAGTGGAATATACATTATGATACTTTTTTATAGTAATTTTTTTAAAAAGCTTGTAATTTTTTTTTTTATTTTAAAGATTTATTTATTTATGCATACAAGAGCTGGGGTACAGACCAGAGATGCAGGGGGTAAGTGGATTCACCAGAGACAGGGTGGGGAGCAGAACAGGCAGATTGAAAAACACTGCTTAGGGGAGCAGCGGGTGAGACAGGAGAGGTTTGCTGTGCCATGTGGGTTGCTCCCTGGTCAGCCAGGGATCGAACTCGTGCTGCAGAGGCTATGGATTGCTTCATAGTGCAGTGCTTAAACCCTGCACCACCAGGGAGGTCCCATGATAGTAATTTGTCTGTGATGATAATGAAACGGTGTTTATGATCTTTGATTTTAGTAATTCCAAGTGTATAGGTATATATCCTGGAAAACCTCTCATATAAGTGTCAAAATATACATGCATGTTCCTTGCTGCATTGTAAATAGAGAAAAATTGTAACTTAACCATTTACTAAAATGAAAACTATGTGGCAGTCAAAAAGATTGAATAGAGTTATATGTACTGGTCTGTATTTTTAAAGGAAAAAAACCACACTTAGAATAATATATTTAGAAACTTATATAATGTCATAAACCATAGTTACCTCAGTTAAATAGATACATGAATATGTTTAATCGCAGGAAAAGTTAAAAAGTAATATGAACAATTTGATCTTATCTATGTAAGGAACATAAAACAGAGACACATGACCCTACCCTACATGTTCATAGATGCATAGAAAAATATCTGAAAGGATTCATATAAAGCTGATAATAATAGTTCTGGGGAAAAGTGTGGGATTGTGTGTGTGTAGGAGAGGAGAGGTTTGGGGGGTATTTTTGCTTTATCTTTTTAATTTAGAATTAGGACTGGAAATTTTTGAAAAAGATGCACAAAAATATAAGGGAGGATAGCTTTTGGAGATATGATTGAAAATTCTGAAAATGAATTTCATTGGCAATGGTATAGGAGTTACAGGGGTATTCGTTGGTTTCTGATAGATATGGGTAGCCAGCACTGATAGCAAAAAAGTATATGCTTTGGAGTCAGAGAAATTTGGAGTTGAAATCTCCTTCTTCCATTTACTATGTAACTTGGGCTGGTCGATTAACCTTTCTAAATAATGAATAGAACCTACTTCAAAGGGCTGTTATGAGGACTGAGGTAAGATCTCTAACATGTAGTACTCACCATGTAGTTAAGTGGTTAAGTATTATTATTAATGTTAATGGTTAAACTTATGTTCTATA